CGCCACAAGTCGTCATCAATCGCGGAAGCCAGGGAGATTCCTCTGCATACCCATGTGTGCAGAAGAAACTTGCGCGACCGTTGAGTTTCTTGTGGCCCATACGCAGGTTCAGTTGTTTAACCTCGTCTGATTATGATGTAATAACTTTGTCTCAGTGGTCAACTGGTCCATGCACATTCCCCTCCCCTGTTTACATATTTATCTATGAATGTACCTTTTCATACTGGTGATTTGTTGTTTGATCAAGATGACCATTCAGAGGAAAGCGTCCTTTGCTACCCTCATTCTTATTCTGGTTTCGAATGGCGTCTACCGTCGTTAAAAAAAACGACGGCTGCTAATTGTCTCACTTGCGCGCGCAATATGATCAGCTGGAAAGTGCGTGCGTCAAGCGAATCGAAACTCGAGAGGTTGCGACTATCTGGTGTCTGGCACATGTCACGTGAGAAGTATGTATCGTTGCGTTAGCGAGAAAGAATACAGTACGAGATAGTAGACAGGTTATATCGATTAGTTGGTACACATGCTGATTGAAGGCGGAAGACGTTAGTTGAGGACCAGCTGTCAGTATTCTATGTGCGAAACGTGAGGGAACATTTGCAGTGGACCTAACCAAGGCATTCAAAGGACTGAAAGTAGAGGAGGCAGATACCAACGATCGGACCAAAACTAACTAATTGTGGAAAAGTGCGCTGCTCGTGCTATCGTGAAATGTATCCGTGGATCACTAGCGCCTTGGTGTATTAAAACCCCTCAGTGTGGCGTCACGGTGAGGTTAAAGGTGAAGATTTCGGATTAAGGCCATTTTCCTGGAGTTTAAATAGATGACAGAGGATAGATAACAACCTGTATGATATGCTCGGGCGAGATGACCCAAGTGGTTAGAGCGCGAATTTACTGACCGGAAGGTCCGTGGTTCGAACCCGACCTCTGCCACTCGACTTCCCCTGTCTAGGTTTGGGCGACCTGACAGTATCCCAGCCCTCGTGCCTCCTTCGTGTGGTATGGCAGCTAGGCACCGAAAGGGTGCTACAGCTGAACGACTTATGATATGATAGAAAAGTGGTTCGAAAACCATAGATCAACAAGATCTTGACAGGTTATGAAAATGTAGTTGCACAGCGGGCACTTCTGCCAGCGATGGATTCTAGACCAGTGTATCGGGCGCTGCTTTCTGACTAAGCATGAAGTGATAAATGCGTCTATGTGAACCGAGTCAACAAAGAGGTCAGTAAATTGTGACCTAATAAAGAGGAGCAACCCAATGGAGGTTGGCTGATTGTTCTCACTATTTCGTGTAACACAGGAGCACCTGAACGGAGTTTGGAATGGAGGGTGAGCTCTACGGAAGGATTGGTATTCGGTACGAATTAGGCACCCATAAGAACTTGCTCGTCTTCATAAAGGAAACTGCTCACAAGGTTGCTGAAGACTTTTCGACAGCCCACGACCGGTTTCGCCCTTCTTGGGGCTCATCAGGTAGGTGCGGTCCCCGTCAACCTTATGTTCTACTTGCACCTGATCGTCTGTTTTCATGTGTACAAAGGGTCGGTTATTAGGTTAGTTTCAGTTACGGAGATACAACGCCATACCTTTATATTGATGTTGCTCAACAAGCAGCCTGAAAGAATGGAACACCTGTACAAAGATCACCAAACACCAGACACACTACGAACCAGTTGAAGCAGTGTTATATGTTTGCAATAACTACCAGCTAAGATGATTAAAATGTTAGTAGAAGCCACCAGGGATCACTCCCTAGTCAGGTAGGACCTCAAAGGAATCAGGTAAATGCCTGCAACTAAAAACAAGTTGTACTCTGAATGTACGAATTAGGCACCCATAAGAACTTGCTCGTCTTCATAAAGGAAACTGCTCACAAGGTTGCTGAAGACTTTTCGACAGCCCACGACCGGTTTCGCCCTTCTTGGGGCTCATCCAGGTAGGTGGGTCCCCGTCAACCTTATGTTCTACTTGCACCTGATCGTCTGTTTTCATGTGTACAAAGGGTCGGTTATTAGGTTAGTTTCAGTTACGGAGATACAACGCCATACCTTTATATTGATGTTGCTCAACAAGCAGCCTGAAAGAATGGAACACCTGTACAAAGATCACCAAACACCAGACACACTACGAACCAGTTGAAGCAGTGTTATATGTTTGCAATAACTACCAGCTAAGATGATTAAAATGTTAGTAGAAGCCACCAGGGATCACTCCCTAGTCAGGTAGGACCTCAAAGGAATCAGGTAAATGCCTGCAACTAAAAACAAGTTGTACTCTGAATGTACGGAAAATTTCCATATTTAGGCTTCCGCAACATTCCTCTAGAGTTTGTATGCACACACAATTGAAGCCGAAACACGAATGCGGATTCGGTATGCTCATCGGTTCGAACGCTCCATAGACTGTACTCAAACAAGCTTGTATAAAAGTAATAACAGCTTCCGCTTTTTTACACTTAATTTTGTGCCGAGTTGTTCCAACTCGAAACTCTATATCCCTTCTGTTATGCGCGAAGCCTTGTTCATCCCCACCATTCACGGAACAGACGCGTTGGTAACCAAGCAAGCTTTTGAATGATAAGATAAGCACAGAATGAGCAGCCAAACGGGCGAAAAATTCATCCAAAATACTGTGTTTCGGGCCTGACTCGAAATTAGGTGATGTTGTCTGTTTGATTTGTTAGGCAGCCTTGTTGTTACCTTGTTCACCCGTTTGACTATTTGACCTTTTTGGGATTTTATCGTTGGTGCCTTGACCTTAGTAACTATTATGTTGCCACGACCGTCTCCGTTAGATTCAGTATACTTAAGCCTGTTCTGTTTATTTCATCTATGGCGAATTCCAATGAGTAATTTCCTTGTTGTCTATCGGACCATTGTGGGGGGGGGGGAAGGAAGGTCAGTTGAGTGCCCATCTGGGGCTACAATGCTCCTCACCGAATGTATTACGATGCCTGGAGCAGTTCTAATCTTTAGTAAGAATTGAAAGAATATGAGCCGGCTTAAAATGAACGATAAAATAGGATGCCTACGTTCTTCCTTGTGTAAGCGGTCGACGCTTTTCACCGGTCCACGGCTTCTTTTTTGTGGTTGGAGACATGTACGGGAACTTCACGGTTCGCTGAGGGAAGTTCATTCGAACATCATCCTAACTGTTGGTGGTTTACTGCATAGTGATCAAGGTTATATGGAATAGGTGTTCAGGCCGGTTCTTCAGCCATGAAACATGGATCGTTGTATAAAACAGCACCTGGAGCCACTGGGAAAGAGCAGGATGGAGATCAGTTAAGATCCGGGAAGTCAGACGAAAAAATGAAAGCAAATACAGTGCCAAAGGCTAAGGATGAGCCGACCGGAGCGAGGATCCGCTGTTAAGTTTTCCATGCTTCGTACAACATTTGCTTGGTTCTAGTCGGAGCACGCTTCCGCAAGCCATTGAGAACAAAGCACTATCTGGCAAATAAAAACACGATCGGGATAGCATAACTAGTTTAGCCGTATCACATCGAGCAGTCGACCTGTTGTCGAACACCACTTGGTGAACTTTCGTTTCGTTTATTCGGTAATTGTACAGTACATTCACAAAGCTTTCAGGTCACCGACCTCCAACAGCAAGCAGTTGCTCTTCGTTTTCCACGCGCAGCGGATACGGTTACCATGGGACTTCAGTCCATTATGACATGCTTCCCACGAAACACCGTGTCAGGCACTCTTTCAACCACCAACCCACCACGCTTCCTAACAACGCACCGATGAATGTCACCTCGAGTGGTGATGAAAAGTTAGCACTCAAATTGCCCAGCTCAGCGACGACCACCAACAACCATGATATGAAGTATTTGGTTCAGGAATTGAGTGTGTGGGCTGTCCAAGTGTAGGATAATATAACGCCACGTCTTCGGCATTTCAACAGGACATATAGGACTGTCGCATTCCCAAGCCACGAGTATCTGAAGTTTAACACTCGTTTTTAAAACTTGGTAAAAGCCACACCAACCGTGGAAACACGGGATCCCGGCTGTCCGTCAACAAGCACATCAACAGACACTGCGCTGTCTATTTAGAAATATTCACTGTCTCAATGGGCGTCCGAAACATGAGAACGTTGGCATTAGTCTGAATTCTAGCGCCAAGGCGCCTAAAGTTGAACAAAGCAACGCTTGAACAGTACACCGCAAACGACATTCATGAAAGCAACTCCTATGAAAGATACCAGTGTCGCAGAAACCAAATACTTTACACTCGTTACGATTTCAAATTCATCTGAGGCTAATATATGGGTTTGCACTTTTGCTCACTCAGTCCTGTAAGTCCCGGATAGGGTTCAGAAAAATCAGGGATCCATTTAGGTGATAACTCTTGTGATCTGCGGTTGGAAGAGTCGGAAACCATTGTAAAGTCTATGAAGAAGGCATATAGGAGCTAGGAAGCTTTCTTGAAGCTGTCGTGTAGTAAAAACCAGCACTGTTTTTCCAGGTGGCCTAAGCCTGAGTAGGACAAGTGCCAGAAGCTTGCACACAATATTTAACAGGCTGTCTCTATGACTGCCGGATAGATTGCTGCTTTCTTTTTATTGTAAAGCGACATTACTATTTTAGAGCGACTTCCTATTTCTGCCAGATAATTTTGGTCAACTGGATAATTACGTCCTTTATTGGCGAGCCACCAAGCACCCGCACACAAGATCTCTGGTAACGTAACTACGGACGGAAAATCGGAGCACGCATAGCTGTTTTGGATGCAGTGGTTTTGAGGAAGTACTGCCTCGGGATGCAGTTTCGTGCCCGGTATTATGTGCAAACATGATACGTGACCAAGCGTATTTTGGCAGGCTCCAACTTCTGGTATATGAAACGCATAACTATAGGGTTTTTTGTTAATAGTGTAAGGAGATTCAGGGAATTCCAGTGAAGCTCTTGTCCTGCAAGTGAAGTCACTCTGTGGCAAAAAACCAATAAGCCTTATTAAGCTGTTTAATCCTCACTGGGAATCATTAGCAGTGAGACCTCACAAAACCCGAGTGAGTCTCGAACCCGCGACCTCCCTGCTTTTGGTTCGAAAACCTAACCGTCCAGCGAGGAGCGGCTGATCAGCAGTGCGTTTGTCTCGAAGGTAGACAGGATATAGCGCCACTTATCCTCCATTCGCAGAATCCATCACTTCTGATGACTGGCTTCACGAATAACTTCTCAAATATGAAGCCCACCCGTCGTGCAAAACATCCCTCCTCTGAGCTACTTATAGATAACTAGTAGTGTAAGGTCTAGGAAATTTCAGTGGAGCTCTGTTTGCTGGTGCCATGATGATGTCCCCATGGTGTGAGCTTAGACATTGATTATCGGACCCATTACCGGTTGGAAAACTTCGTTCCACCCCCTATACTTAATCACACGGTTTATCAGCCACTGGTCGTTGAACTGTAAGTTGTTCAAACTGCTAGGTGGGAGTTCGCGGGTTCGAAACCCCATGGAGATGCACATTGCCAGTAATTCCCAATAACAATGAGACTGGAATGCAATACTTCTTGGATAGCTTCACTTACAGGACGAAGTGCTCGTGGTAAATTAATTTTGTCCGCCCGCCATTCTACACACCACCCATCTAATCACATTGCCTCGTGCTACCGTGAACTCCGACCTCGCAAGGTAACTTAAGCTCCCTGATGTATCTCAGGCTCCGTGTGTTCTTTGGCTAAGTTTTCGTCTTATGTGTGGTGTGCAGACTTCTTAAATCACAGAGCGGGACTGGTGGGAAAGCCCTTTGGGAGTAAAAGTTGAGGTGGTTTGTCTTATGGAATGTTACAAAAGCTTCTTCTCCAGACGTATCACGCTAAGCCTCTTCAAGATTGTGGGCATTCAGTGTGCAACACTTTGTCTAAGATTCAAGCGACATTTTGTCATTAGATGCTCTGGCAGATTCAGGTCGACACACCGCAGCATGAAACGAGCAACTACACGCCCGTGACACCTTTGCACGCTTGTATCTGCACATGCCGCTCAACAATCGCGAATGATTGCTCACAGTATGCATCCACGTCACTCAACAATCGCGAATGATTGCTCACAGTACCGATCGGGGGTTGGAGATAGGCACACCGATCGACGAGGTCTGGGTGCATTGAAACTTCTGTCTGTAGGATTATCTCTAGTAAAATAGACAGTAATACAGGTGGGAATTCGGAACAGCTGTTGTTCGGCAATGAAAATGAGATTTCATGACTGAAACAGAAAATTTCTGTGGAGACGCACGGATTGGCATCATCATTTTTGGGTTACAGAAGTGGAGTTCGGGGGGGGGGAGAGGTAACGTTGCACGTTGTGCGTAACCATTGGAGTTCTTTGTTTATATGATTTTCAGTTGGGAAAAACTAAGAATTGAGGTCCAAGTCTATTTTATTCAAGCATACCAAACATATTTTGGCACCTGGTCGTGTTTTGACGCATGCGATTGTTTTAGTTCTGAGGGACAGTCTGCATATCACCTGTCTGTCGTAGTCCCTGTCCGATTGGAGTCCGCCACTTCTAGCTACCAGTAGTGTCCCCACAACAGCCGATCATATTTGATTTGTTACTAATGAGTGCACCACCGGAAAAGAGGTTTTCGAAACCTTAGATCTATGAGTGATGACGCACGGACTTGCACCACCCCAGTAAAAAAACGAGCTTTCCGATACGTTCAGCCGTACGCACAGTCATCAAAGGAGTACATAACATAGAAGATACTTTCTCTAACCGATTTGTACGATGAAAATGGAGCGAGTGGCTGGATGTGCAAGGAGGAAGTAAGGAATTCAATTTAGTTCATATCTGGACTTTTTTTTTATCCAGGGGAGAAATGGCAATTTAATTTTTTTGTGCGAGGACAGTATGCCACTAGTTTCAATTCAACTGAGGATAAATTTCACTTTGGGAAGAGTAAAGAAGCACATCGGGGGCGAGATGGCCCAAGTGGTTAGAGCGCGAATTTATTGACCGGAAGGTCCGTGATTCGAATCCGACTTCCGCCACTCGACTTCCCTGTCTAGGCTTGGGCAACCTGGCAGTATTCCAGCCCTCGTGCTTCCTTCGGGTGGCATGGCAACTAGGCACCAAAAGGCTGCTACAGCTGAACGGTTTTTAAACAGGCATATCGGAAGATTTATCAACAGCACTGCAGCAACAAATAGAGACACCTTCAGTGCAATTGGAACGCTGAGGGAGATCAAACAGTTCACGCCACACAGAATAACGGCAGAGTTCGTTGAAATCGCTGAACATCCCAGTGTGAATAGAACAAAAGGCGTAGAACGGTTTCAGATCAGTCGAGCTGATACGGGGCGGCGTACGATTGTCAGAAAGAGCGTTTATCAACATAAACAGTTCAGATTTGAAGTGAACATAATCTCACCCACCCACCCCAACTAAATTGTCGTAGCACTTACACGCCCAAGTAGATCAACAAAATTTGCGAGTAGCACCCAAGGTGAGCTATCAAATGAAGCACACTTAACCGGAAGATCAAGGAATCAAACCTGATGAAGGATAGTCTGAAATTCCACTAACCATAAGAATAAGGCAACCACACTAACCGGCAAGACCCTTAACTGACATTCAGCAATGATCTGGTGTGCTAATCATCAGAGGTATTGAAGATCGGTTCTCCTGTGCCTTGAAGCCTGGCCAACTTTGTCTGCTGAAGTGTTTTGTGTCAAGAGCGAAAAGTTGCCCAGTTGAAAGCAACCGATCGTTCACCAGGCTTTTCTGAAACGATCAAACAATGAAGTTTGGTTTGCAGGGACGGAGGTCGCGGCAGCCATTTGATCAGGGGAGCAGAGCATCAGCACGTGAATAGAGTGAATGTTGTAAACCGGTGTGAACATGGCAATAGGTAAGACAGTCTGACGATAATAAATAGGCTCACATAATGGGAACACCATTAAAGCGCGAAGAAAGATGGAATTGTCAAACCTCCTCTCTGTTTGAAACATTGCGCGCTGTAGAAACGAGCGGCTTGGAATGTATGACTTAGGATATGCACTGGGCACTCAAATAAAGGATAATACAGCCAGTGTCTTCTCTGTTTAAAAAATATCCACCTTCTAGCAAAACATTATCCAACAGCTTATGCCTCCTACATTCCACCATTTACTGAAAGCTACTAAGCAGCAATTTTTGTGTTGGACACTTTCTGGTTTATTCCCATATAACCGCACTGGCTTGAAGTCTTCCTCGAAAAAGATCCGAACTTAGTGTAAGTTTTGAACGGGCTACCTGAATTGCCTATACGAGCACTCGACCTTGACTGAAACAAAAACGAATGTGTGATAACAAATGGTGGTGGCACCCTGGAGTGTGACACAGGAGTCCGATATGTGAGTAGAAAAACTCATCAACGAGAAGGACAATGAAATCCACTGCCAAGTGTTATTCTACAAACAGGTGCTCAGGCATAACGAGTGAGGTCTCTAAGTGAGCGGGAGTTGGTGAGTGCTAGTGGATGCAAAGTAGACTCAGATAGGTGAATGCATTCGGAGCACCAAATGAAAGAATTATTCGGAGGAGTCCGGGGCAACAAATCTCTGACGCGCATGGGCCAGCAACGCACTTCGACGTTCCAGCAAACTGGCTTGGCGCGCCTGGGAGGTGGAGTGGAACGTTTCCGCCGCCATACGGAGTCGTGCGACAGGCAATTGATCAGTGGCTGCATTTGAGGCGGATTCATTCAGATCATCATTTTCCTTTGAAACTAGGATATCGATAGCAGCATCCACATCACCGTCGGCATCAACTGAAAAATAAAGTGACAGATGCTTGAGAAATGCAGTAGCCTACTGAGAGCCGGGCGTGCTCTAGCCAGCTAGTCTAGAATGACGGGATATGCGGTGAGATATTTAAGGCCAAGGACGGATCAAATCCAGCGAAATGGAGACAGCTAAGGGTTACGGTCTCGGCCGACGTTGAAATTCCAACGCTGATCAGCACACAAAAACACAATAGCGTTTTATTACCTCGGATAACGCATAGCACCGACAAAAACTAAACTATGCGAGTACGAAAACAGCTGACTGGATGTGCCGTTAAACTGGCCAAAACGGATAAAATACTTACATACATCCGGTCTCCTTACATTCATGAGATTAACAAAGTCAAACACATCGACACAATACTGGGCGTTCTCAGCTAACAGCCTGGTACAAGAGGAAATCGGAGAGTGTGAATTCGAAGACAAGTTAATTGGGGTCATAACCAATCAATCGCTTCCTCTGAGCAACTGTCTCCTACTGTACATGAGTTGGCTCTCCGGGGCAAAATGTCAAAATCGAAAAGTAGAATGAAAACACAGAGTTGTTACTGAATGGGGTCAATAAGGTATGTTGTTCCACCGAAATGTGCCAACAGTTGTTGACATTTGCTCTCCAACCAATTGGACGATGTTTTTCAACCTTGCTAGGTTGTTCGTAGCTGGATTATCAACGGGTGAACATCGCGCGTCCATCTCCAGTTCCGCTGAGACGGTTCAGAAAACAGTAAAAAAATCGCCCACCATTTCAGCGCCTAGCTGCCATGCCACCCGAAGGAAGCACTGCGGCTGGGATCATCATCATCCACATCGACAGCATGAAATCAGTGTTCACCACCGATGCGTCACTGCCGCATAACCACGATTTATTTGGAAGAAAAGAATAAAGGTAGACGGAGAAGGTACTTAGTGCTAGCTTAACACAATCATTCCGAGGTGCCTACATCTCCAGACATTCACTCAGGCAATCTGGATAGAAACTGACAACAAGAACGCCACTGACATCGGTTGGCAGCCATACCTTGTGCCCATCTTGAAAGGCGAGTATCACCGACGGCACCCAAGCGTTTCGTGATCTCCTTCATACTCCTCTACCAAGTCAAGGGTTGGCCACCTCTTTGTTTACGCCACTCTGAACTGTGCATGGAAAACAGCACTCTCTCCGGGGTCTGGGATACTGCCAGGTTGCCCAAGCCTAGACAGGGTCAGACAACAGTATGTGTATCTAAACGTTTGAAGAGCCACCATACACTACAATTTCCACTAAGCTTTTCATTTCGCCTGCATTTGGCCTGTTCGGCTTGTAAATTCATCAATATTCACCTGATTAGTTAGTTTGATGGGAACTTCCCAGTGAGGGAAACCATGGTCGAAGGCTCTTATGAACCTTTCCTCCTCAATGATGATGACGGACTGATCGCATACAAACACTGAAAGCTTTGTCCTTAACCGACAATCTGATGTTTTCTCGATATCATGATCGATGACAGGACAATCTGAGAGTTGAATACGTGGGGTGGTTCCGCTAGTCCAGCAAGGAATTTCACCCCGAGGAACACATAACAGTCCCAAGAGGTACGTGACCTCGTCAATGTCACGAGCCTGTTACGTGCAGGGTCAGTATATTTGCGCCCCAATCTCACTGCAAAATTTCGCATTTTGAGGGTTCAAAATGCACACGGAAAAACTACTCTCTTAACCAAAACACCTTTCTTCTCATAGACCGCAAAGTTGAAAAAAAAACAAGGAGTATAGTAGTGACCCTAATTCACGTGAACGATGCTGTAGAATACCGTCATCGACAGACGACATCCATGCGTAAGCAAGGTGTAATGCGCTGAGTGCACATAATCTCTGCTCCAGAGAGGATTCTGAATCCATCGATGAAGGTATTAAAGGATCTATTCGACTTCGACGATGAAAAGTCGGAATCGGAAACTGGTGACAAACCAATTACACAGTTATGATCATTGGAAATAAAAAAGGACGCCCAGCTAAATGCAACGAGACGAAATCCACCTCCATGTGATACTCGATGTATGTGTTGAAATCCCATCTCCTTTCGTTTACTCCAAGAAATTAGAGCCGATCATGCTATCGATGGAGTGCTTCATAGTATGCACGGGGTCTTGTGTTGAATGTATCATATGCCAGACTAAGAAAGTGATACGAACCAGTACACAATGACTACCACCATTTTACCAGTTGAAAATGATATGTATTACGCTAGTAACAAATTCATGCAGCTAGAAAATCTCTTTTCATCACTAAACATGAAATAATCCTACTAAAAGCCCCAAGTGACGTGATGGAGGAACGAATACTGAGTGGTTGCATGTGAATAGCCTGGTAGACCAGTGGTCTTAGAATGTTGCTGCTTGTGGGATTTTGTGCGCTTACTTAGAGTCGGCTTAATTTGGGAGACCGCAATTTTTACGACACTCGCTTAATTGTCTTGAAACTATAAACAGCTTCAGTAAGAGTCACCGTGAGAAACCTGGGCGGTGTTGTGATTTTATCGCGGGATGTATATCAGTGTTCTCAAAAGTGGTACTGTGCCATCGACGGACTCTGTTCGAAGTCTAATTCTCCCTTATTCTCGGAGTTCAATTGTTTGTGAGAACTTCGTCGGAGTCTTTCCGTCCTTACATGGCCTAGATAGACACATTGCAGGATAGGAATTCTGTAACTACCAAACAGCCCCGAAATCTGCTAAACGCGATGCTCTGAAATAATATTTTGAGCGATCGATCTGGTTTGGGTCCATAGTGATCAAGGATGAAGACAAATCATACGCCGTCAATGGAGATTTATCAATCATCCTATTCCTATTACCTCAAGAGTGATCTTCTCGAATAAGAAGATGGCACTATCCGGGCTACCTTCACAGATTCGTGAAATGAGGGTATTAATCCTTGTACGGTGAAGGTGTGGTCAGAACAAGGAAACACCGGTATTCATGAATTCACTCACTCCGTTCTTCCAGCGTACACTACTTTTGTACGTGAAAAAAAACAGAACCTGGAACTCAGTGACGCAAGTGTGGTCGACCGCTGCACGTCAAAGTCACTTATGCGCCGTCTACATAATTTAAGGCAACCATGCAGGTTGGGTAAGCAGGATGAAGAATTTGGGGATAGAATTCAAACAGGAGCTTAAGCCCAAAATTTTCCATCACATCGAGCGCTGTGTGATCATCATGTTACATCAATCTCAGCCAAACGGTCCGTTGGTTTGACCTAACAGACCGGTTGCTCTCAGCTCTTCCGTAATAATAGAAACAATATCTTGATGACTAGCAGACTCACTAATGGACAAGGTTGTTTTGACAGTCCAAAATTAGTCGAGTCTGATGAAGGTTGAAAATAACCTGGTTTAGGACAAACAACAGGCTTGGTTTGATTGAAAGAAAAAATTACAGCAACTCTCTCTATAGAGACCAACTGACCGTTCAACATGGGCCAGGACTGAGTGTGAAATGTCCTCGAGGGTAGGCCATCCTTCAGAGAGGTCAAAAAGCTGATTTCTCGAGTGATGGTTTAGTGCGCCTAATTTCAACGTTCTTCTGACGTATAGTCGTCACATTTTCAGCAAGAAATAAACACGTAACAGGTTTACATAGGTGTGATCAACATACCCACGTAGACTTGAAAACAGATTTGCGGAGTAGCGGCACAGCGTAGTCTCAGGCTCATGACTGCCGATTTCAGGAAATGAGATCCAAGGTGTGATCACCCACGTAGACTTGAAAACAGATTTGCGGAGTAGCGGCACAGCGTAGTCTCAGGCTCATGACTGCCGATTTCAGGAAATGAGATCCAACAGAGTCAGAAGGGCATCAAATTCAGCATCAATTAGAACATGGTTTTTTTAAATTAAGGATCCCAGAATATGGTGTGGATTTGAAAACAGATTTGCCGAGTAGCGGCACGCATCACTGCGTAGTCTCAGGCCCATGACTGCCGATTTCAGGAAATGATCCAACAAAGTCAGAAGGGCATCAACTTCAGCATCAATTAGAACATGTTTTTTTTAAATTAAGGATCCCAGAATATGGACGACGGTTGAAAGCGAACGCATACCAGCGGCTGGGCTTCAGGGCCCACTAAGATGCAAACTTTTAGAGGGAATTTCGGACGAACTACATAAAGCGAATAAATCATACTGGCTGGAAATAAGAGCAGGGCAGATGAAACCACTTACTCAGAGCGTTACGTATTCGAGTGATTGACACCTCTGAGAGTACTTCACGAACAGCTGGAACAAGATGATCAAACATCTTAGTTCGGTTGCCCGATACATACTCATCCATCAACGGCGGCGGCGGAACGGGTGTTGTATACTCGATAGGAGACTGCGAATCAGACCTGGAGCCACGAAATCGCAAGCCATCATACTCTTCCTGGATGGTGGATGAGATGCTCGGAATGGACGAACGAATAGTGGAAACACTGGATTTTGGGGACGCAGAAGTTGAGGAGGATGTGGACGTCGAGTAGATAGGTTCTCGCTCAAAGCAGGGCTGCTAGACAGGCGATAGGGCACAATAATACTAAAAGTTCAGTTACCTTTGAATATATGCGATCAACCGAATATTCTGAATTTTTTCAACTGAATTACGAAGCAGAGATACGTCTTTACGCGTGGAGAAGTCCCATTAGCCTTAGGCACACAACTAACTTGACACAAATTCTGAGCATTTTCTTCCGAGAATGCCCAAACACAGAGCGAACGATCCTGTTTCTTGAGAGGTCGATCGGGGCAAAATTCAAAAAAGTGAAGCAGAAAACTGGTGCCGTCAACTGAACAAGAACTGTCTGTAAATGTGGTATCCTACAAATCTCGAGTCATGAAACGCCCTTGTTTGGTGCACCGGGGAATGTCCGACTTCATACTCAAAACCGAACTAAGCAAATGAATAGAGGAATATTCCGGAAACAGAAACACAGCATTGAGAGTTATATCCAGACCAAAGAGAACAGCGTGCGGAAATACGTAACCCTAGGCAGACATGACAAGAACCTGGAAACAAATAAAGACGTAAGTCGTTCATAGGTCCAATAGAACTGTGGTTTGGTAGACATGGTCCACAACGCCTACTCTGCCAGTGTCATATGACTGTCCAAATTAGCAGGCAGAATTATAAGATATTTTGCGCCTGATCATCGGAGCATTCCGTGTAAATTATAAAAACAATGTCCCCTATGAACGGGCGAAAATATGACTTCATTTAACTTTTATCGATTTTATATTTCTATAAGCAGTTCTAGCATTCAGAAAGACCAATGATACAGAGCCACCGTACAAACACGTTGAGTTAGTCGAGGCTTTGCAATGGAAAGAATGAAATAGAATGTAGAGTGACTTAGTTCTCCCTCGACACAAACATGCCAGATGCCTGCAGTACCAAACCTCTGGATAGAAACCAGAAGCAAGGCTGCTATAGGCAACGACTCGCAAACAGCTGTTGTGGGGTTGTCAACCAAGCATAGGACATCATATGGGTATCATCCTGCTCCTGTCAGCAGTCGATAACTTCGCATACATTGCACACGAACAAGTCCAACCCACCTCCCTGTGCCGGATGCACCCCGCAAATAAAAGCACTAGTGCTTCACGAAACAGCCGTCCACTGACCATCTTATAGTGAATTCGTTTTTGACACTAAAACATTAAACACCCAGGACCTGACGATGCCTCAGGTTCATGGCTTGCAAAGAATACGGCTCATAATCCGTAGAACAACTTAAACTACGAACAGTTCAACTGTGTTAACTGCAGCGCTTACACAAATTTAGTAAAACGGTGATCTCCCATTAGGGTGCTGATAAAACTCATCGAAACGAGTTCATCAGGTAAAGAGAACGAGTCATTTGAACCATTTGAAGCAAATCCGTAGAATAAACTTTGCAACTACAGCTCAACCCACAGAGTGATTTGTAAGAAATGGGTTATTCATAAGCAAACGTCACATAGCAAACTGGGGCGTGGCTATGTGAACGAACTGCATCCGATTCAATGGTTACACCATTCGAGAAAATCAAGTGATTAGTTTAGTTCGCTAAGAACTGAAGCTGTTAGATCCTTTACAGTTCACAGACGCCCGAGAGCTGATGCGTTTTCCTACACTGGGTAGTGTGGTGAATACATACCATGTAAAACAACAGTTCGAGTAGACCGCTGTCATTTGTTTAATTGTTACATGAAAGCTTCTGTCAGGCCAGAACGCCAAACCTAGGCAGGAGGGAAATGCAGCCACTCAATAATCGGAATGCAGGGGAACAATAGTCGGCGGTAAGGCAGATGACACCGCAATTTTAAGAATAGGGAGTCATACACCATACCATGACCGGTACACTGACACTCCCAGTTTAGTCTTACGGAGGAGAAAGCTATGTAGACGTCGTGATACCCATGTTCCTGGTCGGAGATAGTGAACGAAAACTATGAGCTCCACGGGGGTGATAAACTTCTGGATCACAAAGACCGTTCTGTTGATTCTATGACGACAACCCCGAGCAAAAGACTGTCGAAACAGGAGGCGAACATAGACTTCAGATACTCCAGGTTAACGAAATCGATCAAATCCGTTTCAATGACTTATACTGGAAAGACATATATGGCTACCAACAGACGGTACCGATGTTCTTGTTCCACACTTCTATTCAGCTGAGCTGTTTGCAAATGTAAGCTGGGACCGACAGCTCCGATGCTCCTTTTTTATGACAGAAGGCCCGGGGAGTCATCATGGAAACAAAATAGTGGTGTCGAACATCGACTCCACGGTTTAGGACGGTGGTAACTATAGTGAAGGATGCAAGACAAACAGTCGATGATCGAATCACCAAAACTCAGTCATATGATTCAAGCCTTGCTGGAAAAAACAGTTTGAAGAGTAACACATCTGTCAACATGAAAGAACATCCACCAAGGTAGAAAGTGGAAATCTACCTCGGCCAATGTCTCTTCTTCATCCTCTTCGGCGGCAGGCTGAAGACCCAATGCCTGTGCAATGGTTTCACGAATCCGTGCTGCAAAATCGCGGGAATTCTCACCTGGTAAACGAACCACTGGGTCTAGGTACTCGATGTTGTATATAGTGAATGGGACGAAAAGGTGCCAGAGTAATTCCACGAACCAATTAATCGGATATTCAACCTGTTTACAGTAGGGGAACGAGAAACAAACTAGGACGTAGCGATCAGTGAGAAAATAGCATTGTAGAATAGTTAAATTGCCCTCTGTGAGGTGCAAACGAAGTCGGTGTTTCCACAGATATCAACGCACTTCTAGATCTTCTTTCAGTTACCACGACCTTCGATAAATAAGAAGTCTTATCAGGAACCGAACTTGTGACTTCTCACGTATCTGTGGCAAGTCTGTTTACGAAAATGGATACACCTATCTACTCTTCGACTACTTTAGCAGCATCTAAGTGTAGCTCAAGGACTGAATGGTAGCGCTAGACCTCTTCGAATAAAAACCAATAGGGTAGACCAATAGCCAATTCTAGGGTTAAGTAATGCGCCGTCAAATATTGGCCATCTTTTCGTCTGCATCAGGTTCATCCGAGCTTTCAGAAACAAAAATTATGAATCACGTCCTACTTAACACCTTTATGCATACAATTACCGACTGAATAAGGCTTAAAAGGGAATTTCGTTGTAGGAACAGTAGGCATTCATGTGTGCCTGAACGTATTGCTATTTGGGAGTTGATATTATAGACGCCAGGGAATGAGATCACTGAATAAGCACGGTGAAGCTACCGGCCTGCGCATGACCTGGTGATAAAGAGCACGAAATCCAATCGGTTCGGTTTGTTTAATATTCAATCGATCCACAAACTCAATAAAGTCCGGCCTAATAAAGTAACCACCATCCGAGGAGGCGATTTATGAAAAACGCAGTTTTTGCCGCTGCGACTAGCTCTCCCCAACAAAACATTCATCATCATCAAAGACAGCAAGATCACTGTTGACATTGATGCTTCACTGCCGTACAACCATAAGGTTCGCCTCATTATATTTAAAGTCCTAGAGTGGAAAGAGAAAAAGGTGGGTGATGGAAGGGACCTAGTGCTGGCCTATGTCAAGCACTCAGTCAGACAGTCTGGAAAAAAAGCACAAACGCCACCGGTATCAATTATTCGCCATTTCACGGAACATCTCCAGCGGAGCATTACTTCGAGATCTTTCCTGTGACACCTTTTCGTCCGGGAATACAGTAATCAGAGGAAGTGATAACTGTATTACAAACTAAGAAGAACTTGCTCCTCCTCCAAAACCTTCAAAATAACTAATACACATGAACGTTGTATCGAGATAGCTTACAGCTGACCAAGAATCAGCCAGTTAAAAAATTGTGGAACCACCATCTATAACCGGTCCCGTCAGCAGTTTTGGGTGATAAAGTTGCAAACACTTTAAAGTCGACCTTCCCCATCCGTTTTTTGATTAGGCGAGGCAGATTTTATCGAATCGCTTGAAGGAAGTGCCTTGAAACATTCAGACTCGTACGATGTGGGAATATACTAATTTGCGTCTAAACCTTAGGCATGAAGCCTGAAACATAACGACGTTAACTGAGTCCAGACAATGGTAATGGAAAGTCAGGGGTGGACGACAGCCGCCGCCTTCTTGTAAGGAGCTTGTGCGTCAACTCTCGAGCTATCTCAGGCAGCACAGTCCCACACTACCATCGATCTGAAGACAGAGGAACAATAGTCCAAGAAGTAGGATACCTACAGGTGTTGTAATACAAAAACAAAAAAGGTAATTACAGGTCGGAATGACCTCTTTAGGTTGCCACAAGAGATACCGGTTCATCATCAAGGATAGAGTAAGGACACAAATACATTGCTGCTGTGTTGGAATTTTAGTAACAAACTCACCAGTTTTACAGGAAAGGGACGAGTCACCTTGAGTGCAATCTAGAGGAAGGAGTAACCGGGAGAAACAGACTTACTGGTCGAACCTTCTCCAGCGAATCTAACAAACTTGCGTCAAACTTTAACAGTCTCTCAGGCGAGTCTGTCGGACGCTTTTCTGGAAAGAGCTGCACTGGGCACAGATCTTCTGTAGGTTGAACAGAGCAACACAGCACAGTTAGTCAACCAGATGTAATGAAAATAAAACCAACTTTGAACATTGCGTCCGACGAGTTCGGAGACAGACTCGCCTTTCAGCGGGACATAGGTGGATTTCCAGTGGAAAACATGCGGATGAGGCTGTATTTCGGAGGAGAGCGAGATGGATAGCAGTGTTGTGGCACCAGATAACCGCCATATACAGATTAAATGGAAACGTCGACAACGAAATGGGAGTCCAGAAAGTAATTACTAGGTCTCATCGGTGACACTAAATCCTGAGACAGGAAACCTAGCTCTGTCGTGCCATAGTGGAATAATGACTGGAGATCAACCAGGCTGTAGAACACTAATGTACGAACGACGGTGTTATGGCATCACAACTATCCCATCACTAAACTGTGTGAATATGCTGTAATACATCATGAAGCATCATCATCGGGGAAGAGACAACTGGTTCCCTCTGAGAATGGTATTCGCTCGGATGGATCATATTCTAGGTGGCGGGATATTGTGGGGGGGGGGCAAGGAACACCATGATGAACTTTCCAGAGTGACCTCCCTCCAGAGAGACGCTTGTTAGAAGGATTACTGTAGAAATAGAAAATTCGTGTTTCGCCAGAGGCGAGACGTATGAAGCCTCAAAGTAACTGATCCCAGCATAAACGTACATGAATGTGTAGATTTTCGTAATCAAGGGAACTAGGAGAAAAGCAGCTAGCACATAATCTCTAAGAGTCTCAGCCCAGAAGAGCTCACTACAATAATAAGAGACCCCCTTAATTTATGATGACTCCAGAATGTCGAAATCAAGAATTTTGCCGGTAGTACAGTTCACCAAGAACAGAGTACAGCCTGATGCGTAGCGGTGATTGTTTCGTAGGACTTCCCCTCAACAAACGCTGACATGGAGGTCTCAAGGCATACTCACAGAAGGGTGGGTTGTCTAACCACTCATCCAACAGCTGGAAATAAAGGTTACCGTCATTCAATTAGGGTAACCGTGAGCACACAGGTAGGTTCATTTTGAGTTGACTTTTTTGTTGCAATTGTCCTATGACTGGAATACCGAAGGTTGCGGAAACTTCCGGGCCCTAAGAACACAAAATAGCTAAGACAGATAACCGACAAGAGATAAACGGTTATGGGCTAACCGATTGTTCGAAGAGAACTACACTGGTAGATTGGTACGGTAGGAAAGACGAAGAAGTAGGTGAGCTAACATCAAGACACAAACTAGTTCAGCTCACCCACTTTACCACCCATAAACCATCCATCAAAGAGACGTTCGTTTTTGGTACTACAGAACTGCCAACTAAAAAATGAGAGCTGTAAAGAGACACCAAAGCATTGCATGTGATGGCAAATTGATTAGTGGTCTGATTGGTTGAATAAACGGGAAACTGGACACCTAAGCAGCGAAGGCGACAGCTTTGATGCAGGAGCGTGGTCGACGTAACTGAGACATGCCTGCGTGTTTGAGACAACGTCATTAGCCTGGGTGCCCGGCCACGAATGGGGTAATGACAAACTGGGTTTACTGGAATGACTTCATACTTCATTTTCAGATCATACGCTGCCTTACACAACAAGGACGGGGGGACTTCAGGCGAAAGCTTGCTGTGTGCAAATACGGACCCACAAGTGGCCGTATACAATCATTCATAAGAAATAGAAATTTGGAAGGAAGACTTTTACCCGCAAAACACTGCCAATTTTCCACCGGTATTCTGTTTTCCTTCAAAATATTCCGCAGTAAAACCATCAGATTTCTCACCACGGGTTCAGTACCTTTGAAAGGTGAAAACCTCAAACCAGACAAGGTCTGGTGCCCTGTCACGTTGGAGAAACGATATGTATGGTCGTATTTCTGTTGTTGGCAGCGGGTTCGTTGGATGCTTATAAAAGTAGTGTTGAAGGAAGCTAACTGTACTGCTCTTTGAAGTGTTCAGCCCATGGATCAAGACAGTAATTTTTGCAAACTGCTTTGCTGTTTAATCGAACCAGCTGAAAAAAGGCTTTCACGATGCACAAGTATTCCTTGTCATCCTTGAAGCCGTTAACTATCTGGCATTTGAGGGATCCCCGTTCACGATCGTGGACGCTAGCTGATGGCATGGATTTTCTGGTAGCAACAAGACCTGTTGATTCCGGCGGTATCAGGTATTCACTTATTCGAGTGGCATCGTTTGGATAGATAGTTCTAGAATCTTAGACCACAGCTCTCAGTCTCTGCCATTAACCTCCCAATTAATATTCGTCATCAGCGTGACGACTTTCCAGCCAAATCAGCCCAACACCGTTGAGCTACTGAGACTCGCCGAAGTAGATGATCGGGATCGCTCCGTTTCGGAATATGTAATCCAGAGAAGAAAGCGATAGCCGAATCCGTACAGTGGAATAATCTGACCAAATTTGCGTAAACCAAGGAGGACAGCAAACTTTAATTGAGGCTCACCACTGGCGACTGACAATTACATGCTCAAAATGAGTCCAAGACTGACTTACGGTTGGTAGAAACTGAGTAATTTGATGCGAGTGGTTGTGCTGAAGGTCCCTACCGGCCAGCAGCAGGTAACGTGCCGCACAAATGAAGACTTCACTGCTTATTATCCGTACGCTGAGTACCGATTCCAAATATACCACTTATCTGTACTTCATTCGGGCTTGACCGTCCAAAAAGGGTGTTTCATATCACCCGCCAGGATTAATATATCCATTCTTTTTGTTGGTCCAAGTAGTCATGACCCCTCTCCATTAATCCTATCCTTCGCAGCACCATTCAGGCCGTATGCCGATACGACAACTAGAAACCGTTTACCACAACGACCTGTCTTGATCTTAAATGAACCATATAACCATACGGCGTAAAGACCCAAAAGACAATAGGAGGAATTAGGGTCTTGTTCCGGTATTCTTAGTATAACCTTTGAATCAAACGTTTGACCCTAAGACGACGTGCAGTGGGGTTTGCTTGGAAGATCCTTCAAGGAACCAACGGCTCAACAGCCTCATTCACTGTCTAATTTCGCAAATCATCTTTCGCCGGGAACGGCCCTGACCGTTTTCATGAATATGGACATGCAGGTCGTCTGGTGAAAAACGAACTCACGAAGCAAAGTTCGGTCTGAAATGCAACAGCAACTGGTGCTGCACACAACTATTATGGAAATCAAGTTGTGGGTAAACTGCAGTAGACTACGCAATCCCTTATAGCCACAGAGACTTACCGTTACGCACTCTTGTGTCAGGCATATCATCAAATGGTCAAACAGTGTGACATGGTTTGAAACAATAGGAATCGACTTCTGGATATCCACTGCGGGTTTGTCTTCCTTCAGTTTAACAGAAAAGCCAAGAACTAGACACATAACCCGCAGTACAGATCTGTGTGAAATGAAGCTCAAATGTTGGGTTTCTTACCTTTTCAGCATTCCGAAAGAAGTTAGGACGAACGAAGCGATCATGGCATGTGGGTAGATGAAGAGCCGAACGGTGAGGAGGAGTAATCCCAAGGGTAAATACGGTAAAAACATGAAAGCGGTGGGGAATATTAACCTGCAACAACGGTGAGCAACCACTCAGAATAAACAAACCTCATGTTGCAAACACAGATTGGCAGTAAAACAACAGGACGGAAGAGTACGACTCCGATCAATGAGTTGCACGTGAGGTCACGTGCTATAAGAGCGACTGCAAAGAAAATGTGCCACGCGTGAAAAAACAAAGCTGCATTGAAACAGGTTGTCCTAAGAAATTACGTCTTCGCCGTTAAGTTTATTATAATCCTGCATCTCGAAAGCACCATTACATCTTGATAAGCCAATGGTGGTGTAGTGTTCGGTTGTCTTACAGCCTAGCTACAAACGTCTTGCAATTGGTAGGAGTCACAAGGAAAAAATCTCTAAGTATTCCATTTTTTCGTGTTGATAGTGCCTTAACTCTCTTCGGGTAGACCAGCCATCTTGCAACCAACTAGGGTCAGACCATTGAATCACTGGTTCATGGAAGCATCCCCAGTGAGGATGTAACTAAAAATAATCTTATGCCACATCGGCCGTCGCATGGTGCCACCAGTCGGGTCACCTTACTTTCTGCATACAGCAGGGCAGGTAAGCGAAAACATGCTACTGCTGACGCCTTGCAATTTCAGGTTTTCACCCTTCGATCCTATCTGCTCTTTCTGCAGCTCGCAGCACCGGGACTGACCGCAGTGTTCGCCGCGCAGCACACTCAACTGCAGCTTCTGTACGTCTGACTATCTGTTTTCAAGCCCCGAAAGTCGGTCTACTTAGCTGCCTTTAATGTTTGCATACTGAAGCAAACAGGATAACAAGTGGCTCCTGCCCTTACGCAGTATTCCCTTTTGATTGATGTATGCTGTCTATCATAAACAAGGATACAGGACGCAAGTACTGTGATTGAAACGACTGCCCCCTCGCTTTTTTCCAGGCTTCTGCTCCGCACATTTAGTAAAGCAGAGGCCGCTGTATCTGCATACGCCGGCGTGAGTATTGGATTGAGTGAACGAGCGGAAGCGTCTCTACTTGATTGGATATCCATTGATAGTCGCCTCTGCTCGGTTTGTTTGGCAACATCCGTGAGAATCTCGAGAATGTGAGGTCCGACGAACCCCATTCATTGTGTCTGCTTACGCCCCAATACACCGTAGCTCTGAATCTGCCAAAGACATTCTTAATGAGACTCTAAATGCTCTCTTACAACGGACTAAACGAACGGACGTTGTTTGGTGGCGACATGTACGCCAGGGTAGGTAGACTAAGCGCTGCTGAGGCCCAATTTTGTGGTTGTTTGAGCTGGATACCAGACGCGCGGACAACGGAAATAGTCTACTTCAGATGTGGGCCGATCAGACTGTTCATTTTCAGTATCTATTTCGGAACAGCGGAATCCGCTTGACGACGTAATGTCCACAGACGAACCAGCCGGGAATCCAAGTTGGCAACATCATCGTCGGTTATCAGTGACGAGGGTCGATCAATGCCTGCCGCTCCTTCTGGAATACCGGCTTGGATTCTGACCATGTACTTGTGCGGTGATGCTTTCCGTTGCGTTTTTCAGGTCTACAAGATGGCTCACTGGTTGTAGCACGAATTCGCTGGCCGTAACGTCCGTGGTTCAAACACGACCACTGCTTCTTGACTTCCCATGTCTAGGTTTGGGTAACCTGGTAGTACCCCAGACCTCGTGCTTCCTTTTGGTGGCATGGCAGTTAAGCGCCAAAAAGGTACTACGGCTGAACGATTTTTTTATTCCAGGTCTACGCAAAACTCGCACATCTCACTTGCATCCGCATCGACAGCATGACATTTTTTGGTGGCAAGTTAAGCGCCAAAAAGGTACTACGGCTGAACGATTTTTTTATTCCAGGTCTACGCAAAACTCGCACATCTCACTTGCATGCATCCCGACAGCATGACATCAGTGTTCAACACCGATGCTTCACTGCCGTACAACTATGACTTATTTGAGAGCCTTATTGTAGAGAAAAGAATAAAGGTG